AAGAATCAACAGTAGATTAGTAAACTCTATGAGCAGTTTCTTTAATTCATTAAAGCCTCACAACAACAATACCAAAGTGATATCTATGTCAAAGACAAACTGGGAAAGTTCAGTTGTTGCATTTCACAATGCCGCTTCTGCTTCCCTAGTACCTCCTATGATTCTTTTTTAGCAATCACCAATAAAAGAAGCAAAGACAAACTTGATGTAAGTGTGTGTGAAACAACTCTGCTCCCTGATTTTCACCTTCAGTGTAAGGGTAAAACCCACATGCTTCTCATAACCACTTGTAAGTACGTGACTGTCAGGCACATACCTCACTGCGCAGCAGCAAATCTCCCATGATAATTTCCTACATTTCTGTCATTTCCAATGGTTCACCAATAGGGAAAGTTTGGAAGGACAAGCTCAAAGTGATAGAAATAAAAATAATACATTGATATAGCTCATATAGAATTTTATTACACTGTCTTTCAGATCTTAGGTGAAATGTTCTTTTCCAAGAAGTACATATCAGAAGAAAGACACAGTCATCAATAGAAACAGTCAAAGTACTTTGCAAATTTTATCCCCCCCACTCAAATTCTGAAAGCATTTTAAGAAAGAATCACAACATTCCACTTTGACTGCAGAGTGCTAATTAATTACTAACTTTATTTCTCCCAGAGGCAAAATATTAACATTATTTTTAAATCAAATTAAGTTTCACAATCTTCTTATTGTTATAAAATATTTAGCAGCAATATCTGTTTAATTATTTAGACATCTCTTAATGGTGTAAATATTATCAGTTCAGTCATAAATATTTTTCTGCTTTGTCCATAGACAATCAGTTAAGGAGCTGCTGCTTGTAGGTCTTAAATTAAGATCTATTTAAGGCTGCCTGCTGGCCAGAGCATAATTACTTACACTTGCTAATGCCTAAATCTGTTAGATTTAGCAGCAAGAAGTATTCTTTACTTTCACAAATAAATTTCATTGTTGATGGTATTAGAGAGTATTAGGGTGGGGTTGAAGTGGTTGAAAATTTAATTAATACAATCCCTTTAGCAACAATTGTTTTTATATTCATAACTCTTACTAATAACAGCATTATGGATCATACCCATGTGAAATACTCTACATATTTTAACTTATCTCTTGGGCTGGAGCGATAGCACAGTGGTAGGGCGTTTGCCTTACAAGCGGCCAACATGGCTGACCTGAGTTCGATTCCTCTGCCCCTCTCAGAGAGCCCGGCAAGCTACCGAGAGTATCTCGCCCGCATGGCACAGCCTGACAAGCTACCCATGACGTATTCAATATGCCAAACACAGTAACAACAAGTCTCATGATGGAGATGTTACTGGACCCGCTCGAGCAAATCGATGAACAACGGGAGGGCCGTGGGCCACCGTGCCATGACCTCTTTTCAAGCTTTTTCTTGGGGCAAGAATTTTAGCTTCTCTTTCCTTCCTTCCTTCCTTCCTTCCTTCCTTCCTTCCTTCCTCCCTCCCTCCCTCCCTCTCTCCCTTCCTTCCTTCCTTCCTTGCTGAAATCAGTGTGGCTTTTAAAAGTGCCAAAATCACAATTTTTTCTCCCTAATTTTTTCTTTATGTTATGTTAATCTGTAGTTATTTGGTACAACAAAGTACCAAGAAAGTTATGTTAATCTGTAGTGATTTGGTACAGATGTTCATTTGAAATGATTTGTTTACTTACCTGCTATAATAAATTGTTATGCTAGTGAAATTACCACTAACTGTAGATTCGGTGAAGGACAAAACTGTCCTCCTGGTCAACTCCTTATCATCTCCGGTATAAATTAGGAATTCTTCTTAATCTATTCACATGTCACATTATCCAGAAAAGACCTCTGATCTCCCAATAAAAGTCACAATCAGGATCTTTCTTCAAACCCCATTCTCCTCTTAAGTTGGCTTTATTTTTTTCTCTATAACAGTTACTATGGTGTAATGTTCTGAAACATTTATACCTGTTTATTGTAGCACTCTCCCCAAAAGACTGAAGCTCTGCTGAGAAAAGGACTTAGAGTTGTTTTCCACTGTATCCCGACTCAAGACAAGTGCCTTAAATATAGTAGACAATCAATAAATCATTACGGAATACATGAAGTTGTCCTCACATTTATCAGGTGCCTAAACTACCAGATCAGAGAAAAGTAATGAAATTTTCTTTTTGACCTGGCATGCATTTTGATGGCTGACAACTTGATGTAAATGTTGAGCATTTACCCTGAGCTGCCCGTTCTGCTGAGTCTGAGTGGAAGGGGTCTCCTGTAGAACAAAAACAGAATTGAGTGTGTTATGAGGTTGTGTCTTCATTGAAAAACTGAAATTTGGGATTTTGAAAACGAAAGGGTTTAGTGGGCAAATAAGCTGCTATAACTAGATATTACGTGAAGCTTACAAAGTTCTTCTAAGCATCTCAGATGTATGATAAAACACATTAGTACTTGCCAAAACAGGGTAGGAGCGATAATACAGCAGGAAGAGCATTTGCCTTGTACACTGCTGATGGGGGTTCAATCCTTTGCACCAGATCTTGCTTCCTGAGTCCGTCAGGAGTGATTCCTGAGTGCAAAGCCTGGAGTAAGCACCAAATGCAATGGGTGTGGCCCCAATACAATCAAGCAAGAAAACAAACAGAAATAACAACACAGGAAGACTCTTTTACGTGTTGATCTTAGGAAAATGGGATGGAAAAAAATTACTAAGGACTCTGTGTGCAAAGTATCTGACACACAAGTGAGGAATAAATGGTGATTATTGTCAATACTTTCATTAATACAGGAATTAATGTCTTTTAGATGGATATCTCGAGGCATATTTTCTAAAACAGCTTTGCTAGCATTGACCCCGCCACCCCACCCAGAATCAACCTCTAGCCCTCTTTATTCTGACATTCTGTCCACACCTACAAAGCTCTGTGCATTTATGCTGAAGCTGAAGAAATGCTGTCTTTCAATGCATCTTACTATCAGTGGCTGAGAACTCACTTTGGTGCATCCTGTAGACTTGACTCCCTGTACTTAGATACTCTTGACCTCAGATGAAGATGCTTTTGACAGGAGGAAGGTGGTACCGTCTAAATTAATAAATATGCAGATGGCTATATGCTAACAGGTTTTGAAGTGACCATATCTTTTTTGTAAATTTCAAATGTAGGGGTGACTTATGTAAACCTAACCCTTTTCAGCAAAAGAGGCATTTGCATATATTTAGAAATGATAAATTCTGACAGAGACATAATATTTATAGCAATCCATTTTTTTAAAATCCATTGCCAATTTACAGAGCTTAACATTTGGTGCTCTGGTATGCTTAAGAGTTTAAATAATAATAAATTTGTTGATGTATTCCACCTGGAACAGAAACTGACTCCCCTCCCTTTGGCTCCTTTTGAAGGGGATACTATAAATAGTGTCACAGACGCTAGGATCAGGAATAGGGAATTGAAATTCGAGAGAGAAGTACAGAAACATTTCCATTATCACTGATGCCTTGAGTGTATTTTTAAAACAGTTCTGTTTCTGAAATAATACACCTTCTCTCCTTTCTCCCACCCCATTTCAGTTATATTAGAGTCCCCCTAACCTGTTGCCAGCTTTAGGATTCAGTTTCATTAATGGGGAAGAGACAGGAAAAGTAGTAACTGACTAGGTAGGAGAAGGTTGCCCCTAGGGCAGCCAAAACAATTCTCCAGTGTTCATCTTACATTACACAGGAGTCAGCTGATAACTGAGTGTCTGTGTCTGGAGTGTAAATCCATTATGCATCCAGCAGGTATGATGAAGAGCTCTCAGTTCATGAAAAAGAAAAGAAAAGCTAATTGAAGTTACAACAGCAAGACTAAAAATATTCCGGGAGGTCCTTTTTTGTTCACCCATCCATGCTTATAGATACTCAGTACAGGATCAAAGAGCAGTACTGTTGACTCCAGATGATACCACTTGTTTTCCTTAAAAAAGTAAAATGAGCAAAAATGTGGAAGCCAGTGGCTTGACATAGAAGCTAATGATAAAAGCCAAGAGCAGTCACCTAGTGTAGCAACAAGTGATGTTGTAGGTTCTCATACATCACAAAGGCTTATTTTCAGCTTCTTGTTCAAAAAGACTCAGAAGGAAGTAATCTTTGTAAAGAGAAAAATAAGTATAGCTAACATTCATGGAGAACTTATTATGGGCTGCTACAAAATAACAACACATGGAGGGGTATTGCTTTTTGCAACACCTTTCTAATTAAGTACTGAACTTTCCTTTTCCAGGTATCTTGGAGCATACCCCTTCCCCAAGACTTCCCCTTAGCAATCCCTTTGCCTTTATAGCTAATTGGATGGCAGATGTTTGGACCAAGCCCCAGAGTCTGTAGTGTACCACATTTTAATGATTTGTGGTGAGCAAATTAAATGCTTCAGAAGCAGACTTTATGAAGCAGGGACCCAGTTAAGTATGATGGATTTGAAGCAAAGCAAAAAGGAGGCAAATGTGATAGGGGCTTATTGTTTCCTAAACAAGACACCAGAATCTGTGATTCTTTGTTAATTCTAAAACGTTGCTTGAAAGATGACTTTTTAAAAGAACTGTACTCTCAAGAGGAGGAATTTTCCTTGTCCTTCCACATAGCATCTTTTTAAGAGGATGGGGAGGTACTGAGCTATTTGGCAATAACTCAGTGTCTTTGTGCTTGTGGAACACCCACAATGTGGATCTTACACATACAGGATAGATAAACTGTTCTCATTTCTTAAAGCCCATGGAAGACAACAAGACAAGAAAATTGCCAAATGCTCTTAAATTTTAAAATTTTAAAGCTATTAAGGAGGAGAATCCAATTAGGGAAAGGGAAAAAAAGATTATTGCAAATAGGTTTGCTTTATTTATTTATTTATATTTTAATTTATATTTTTTCTCTCCTAGGCTGAGCAATAGCAATAGTGATATGGCAAGACATGTGGCGAACCTGTGTTTTGATGCATCCTCTTTTGTTCTTCTTTCATAGGGCAACCCCTACATGTGCAATAATGAGTGTGATGCAAGTACCCCTGAGTTGGCACATCCCCCTGAGCTGATGTTTGATTTTGAAGGAAGACATCCCTCCACATTTTGGCAGTCTGCTACTTGGAAGGAGTATCCCAAGCCTCTCCAGGTTAACATCACTCTATCTTGGAGCAAAACCATTGAGCTCACAGACAACATAGTTATTACCTTTGAATCGGGGCGTCCAGACCAAATGATCCTGGAGAAATCTCTCGATTATGGACGAACGTGGCAGCCCTATCAGTATTATGCCACAGATTGCTTAGACGCTTTTCACATGGATCCCAAATCTGTGAAGGATTTGTCTCAGCACACGGTCTTAGAAATCATTTGCACCGAAGAGTACTCCACAGGGTACATGACAAATAGCAAAATAATCCACTTTGAAATCAAAGACAGGTTCGCGTTTTTCGCTGGACCTTGGCTGCGCAATATGGCTTCCCTCTACGGACAGCTGGACACTACCAAGAAACTCAGAGATTTCTTTACAGTCACAGATCTGAGGATAAGGCTTTTGAGACCAGCCGTCGGGGAAATATTTGTAGATGAGCTGCACTTGGCACGCTACTTCTATGCAATCTCAGACATAAAGGTGCATGGAAGGTAAGAGAACATCTATCTGACTTAAACAAAAAGGGGTGTTTTCAAAGAAAATGCCAGTGTCAGTCTCGCCACTATTGAATGACCTCACTTTCTCCTGCCTTATTTTCTGAGAAATACCTTATTTTCTGAGAAAGCCCAGGAGTAGTTTCTGAGACACTGGAGAACCGTCTTACTCCATAATAATCTGTGATTCTAGACTGTCACTGAACAGGAACTTGGTAGGATGTCTTAGAATTTTAATGAAAGCCACCACTACCACAAGCCCTACTCCTCCCCCATCCCACATCCCCAAGAGCCATCTAAAACCAAAAACATCTTATAGAAGGCTACAGTGTAGCTGGCTTGGGAAGTTGTTTAATTCTTTAAGGCAATGAAGTGACTGGAAATAATGCCAGTTGCACTATAAAAGAGAATAAAAGGCCAGGGAGAGAATTCAGTGGTCAGAGACTGTACATATGTTACAGGATCTAGGGCTGAGTTTGGACCTCAGCACCAGATTTCCATCCACCTGAGCACCACTGATGTCTACCAAGTGGTGCCTTAACACCATGACATGTGATCCTTGACTCTGTAGGGGTCAAGCATTACACTAGACTGAGTAGCTAAGTATCTCCAGGAGTGACCACTGGACCCCATGAGCACTGCTTAGAGAAACCGCCCCCTGCCTGAAATAAAGTCCAAGAACAAAAAGAGAAACTGAAAAATAAATCTATATTTTTTCTGTTTTCTAATGCTCGAATTTCATTATGGTAAATGTAACTCCTTGATTATATTTTGCCACATTGCATAAAAACGGGCTGGAGCGATAGCACAGCGGGTAGGGCGTTTGCCTTGCATGCAGCCAACATGGCCAACCTGAGTTCGATTCCTCTGCCCCTCTCAGAGAGCCCAGCAAGCTACCGAGAGTATCTCGCCTGCACAACAAAGCCTGGAAAGCTACCCGTGAAATATTCGATATGCCAAACACAGTAACAACAAGTCTCACAATGGAGGCATTACTGGGCCCACTCAAGCAAATTGATGAACAATGGGAGGACAGTGCAGTGCTCCAGTGCATATAAACTCTTCAGATAGGAAAGTTTTGCTTCCTCAAACTTACTAACTACTAATCAAGAAGCATTTAGGAAGCACAATACTTTTGTTAAAGATGGGCAAGCTCTAATTTTCAGAGTGTTTGATAGTATTGTCTTGAAGAAGAGATCAAACTCAGATCTCCTCCAAATAGGCATACTACTGAGTTACATCTCACTGCAGCCCCTCCCCCCGCCACACACACACACACACACACACACACACACACACACACACACACACACTTTAAACTCTTTTTTTTTTAACTTTTTTATTGAGTCACTGTGAGATATACCCTTACAAAGCTGTTCATGATTAGGTTTCAGTCATACAGTATTCAACAACATTTTTCCAGCAGTGTACATTTCCCAGCACCAGTGTCCCCAGGTTCCCTTCCATCACCTCCCATAGAGGCACTTCTCTCTTTCTCTATCTCGTTCTCTCCTTTTGGGCATTGTGGTTTTCAATACTGATACCAAAAGGTTCAAGAAAATCTCTTTACCTACTTTTAACCCTCAGATTTTGTCAAGCGTCATCAATCCCAGCTAATATTTATGGGGCTGAAGAGGGTAGATAAGATAGAAAAGAGACTCGTATGACTTTAAACTCTCCTAACTAAGGTTTTGGTAATGTATGATGAAGATATGCTTAGAGTAAAATAGCATTTCTGTGGGAAATAGTGGATGCTACAATAGTAAGCTTGCCATTTTCAGGGTAAAAAGGATAGTTCTGTGGGTACAGAGCAGGATGAGAGGTCAATGTGGAGCTGATGCCTTAAACATGAGTTTACCCTAGTAATAAAATGGAGCCATTATAGTCATGAATATTTTAGCAAAAGAAGATTAGTTCCAGTATTTTATTCTTGAGGATATATATATAAATATAATTGATATTGATATTTTATAATATCATGCTTTTATAGCATGATATATTTATAGTATCATACTTTAAAAGTAACTAATATTTTCTTTAAGTACAAGGAAAATATTAACATTATTAATAATGATAAGTATAAGTAACTAAGTTTTATATTTATTAATATCAAATTAATAAACTCAGACTTAAATTTGAATCTCAATGTGATATATACTGAGAGGTAAAGTCATATGAATAAGTTTCCTTGAGTTTGAGAAATCCTTTATTGAAACCAAGTCCTTCAAACCCAACTTTCTCAAACCTTCATCTGCATGCAAAGAAGAAAATCTTATAAAACTTTGATAGGGGAAATAATTGTTTGGGATTCTTGTTGTAATTGAAAAAATATTTTGTTTCCTCTGATTATTTAAAAAGAAGTATAAACATACTTTAAAGCTATAGGTATTTGGTGCATATTTATGGAAATCAGAAATATTCTCTTCTAAAGGTGATGTGTTAAAAATGTAGGCATCCAGGGTCATAAAGAGAGCATATGTAGGGTTTAAGGTGCTTTCTTTGCACAGCTGACCCAGATTTTATCCACAGCACCTTGTATAATCCCCTGAGCATGGCCAGGAATGACCAATGAACAGTGCAGGGAGTAAAATTTTGAGCACCACTATGTGCACTCCAAAAATCAAGACAAACCAAATAGAAAAATGTAGAATTCCACTAGTTTTGCCCCTTCTGTCTTTCATTTCCAGCTGTACCCTTCCACTACATTTCACAGATTCTGGTCTCAGGGTTTGTCTTCCTTCCTTCTCTGCGTCTCACCTTCACTGTTTTTTTTTTCAAGCATATACTTGTGAGAAGGCATCTAGGCAAGGAAAAAAAAGTTCCAGTAGAGATGACACCCCCCCCCCACTCTACTGTCCCACAGAGTCACCTCCAACTCTGTCTTGATTGCTCAGGGCAAAACTGAAGTGAGCTAGTACTGTGCTAGGTACCAGAAATCTAAGACAGTTCTAGCCTGAGGAGAAAGACTGAAGATGCAAAGCCTGATGATCTAGAAATATCTTTAGTTTTTAACTTGTATCAGGACAAGTTCCATTAATGGCAATGGAGCCATTAATGGGGACTGCTGATCTGTTGGCTGAACCAAGAGGTTTTCAGTCTAGAAACTGATCAAATTCCTTTACTTTTGAAAGTTTCAATAGTACAAATTGTGTTTAATTTCTTATTTATTTTGATTTTTGGAGTTTTGACCCACATCTGCAGTGGTTCTCAGGCCTTACTCCTGATTCTGTGCTCAGGGATCATTCCTGGTGGTGCTTGGGGAAACTTTTCGAGTGACAGGGATAGAACCAGGTTTACTTTAGTGCTAGGTAAGCATGTGCCGCACTATCTCTCCAGACCCTTTTCTTATTTGGTGTTTTTTGGGACCACACTGGGCAGTGCTTAGGGGTAACTCCTGGCTCTGCACTCAGGAGTTACTGGCAGGCTCTAGGAACCATATGGAATGCTGGGATTGAATGTCAGTCAGCTGCGTACAAGGAAAGCACCTTGTCTGCTGTACTATTGCTCCAGCCCCACAGTCACTTGTCTTTTGCTAATTCAGAAAATCATTTATAGGAGGATGGTACATGAATTGATGCTCTCTAAAAAAACCCTTTATGGCTGTTCCCCTCAGGAGAAGCCCACACCCCCTTATCCACATCTTTCTTTCTTCAGCACTCCCCTCAAATTTCCCTTAGTAAGTTAAGTTTACTTCAAAAATAATTTAAAAACAAAAAAGAAACTTCCAAGAGTTCCTTTCCATGAATATCATTTTTAAAAAACCTTGCAGAATATAACTTGAAGTCTTTCTACCCTTTGGTCCCCACCATCATGTGAAATTGTTGCAATATGTAACTTGTCTTTATACTTCTGTATTTTGTAATTATAATAATAATTTTTATATGTAACTCCATCCTCATCCACACTATAATGGAGGAACTGTCATGAGTTATTTGGGAGAAGCAGATAAATATTCATGGAACAGTGGACAAAGAATATAAGATTTTTCATCTTGAAATATTGAGCCACAAAACACAAACAGTTGGAGAATACTTGCTTAAATTGCCTGGGAATTCTAATTCTTTACCCTCCTATGCATGTATGTGTTTTTGTAACTTTTATGTTTTACACCGACAAGTAAAACATTGTCACTGAAAAAATGATGTTGTGATTGTCCTGAGACTAATGTAACATTTATGTTCATTTTGGCATATGACACATCTGATAACTATTTTACGGTGACAAAAGATAAAATCCCACCATAAAAATACATTCTTCTTTTGCTCTATACTTCCATTGCTTCCATTTATTCCCAGTCTTTGTGTATTTGTTAAGATAATGGAGGAGGGAAAAAAAAGAAAAGAAAAGAAAACATGCCCTTGGCAATCTCAGCAACTCCTGTAGCACTTACATTGTTCAGTAAACCTAATAATCTTTGTGGACTAATTCTGACTTATGGATGTCCTGCTTCAGTAAATCAGGGTGATTTTCTCTAGTGAATAATAGACGAGTACAGTGTGCCAGTACCTTAATTAAAGACTGGCTCTCTCCGTCTTGATCTCATTTTAATTTACAGGGTAATACTACAATAATATCACTAATGGAAGGTACATTAAAGGGCATCAAGTAGCATTAACAGTATTAAATTATGGTACTTGTGTTAATTAACTGCTGAAGCAAGATGGTTCTAATGGCTAAAAAGGTCTTCTAATGCATAAATAAAATCCAGATGAGGGGTGAGAAGAGAAATGAAAAGTAGATGTTTGTCTAAATATTTTTTATATAGACTAGAGGTTAAATTCACAGACTGTTAAATAGAATGTCCACACTGTTTTTTTGAGTTGCAAGAAGTTTTTATTTGTGTAGTTCTCTTTTATATTTTTCTTGATTAAATTAAACAAAAATGTACTCTATCAGATATGTAGATTTTGTCAACTGTACACTCAACTTTATTACTTTTTTAAGATGAACACTTTCAAAGAAGTAATGTTACTTCCTGTAATAATTTTTAAATATAA